CCCTTCGTCCACCTGCGCCAGCAGCGACTGCACCGACCGGGGCCGCAGGCCCGGCGCGCAGAGGGCCGGCTCCCGGGGGCTGGCGGCAGCAGGGGTGCCGCCTCCATACGCGGCCGCACTGCAGCCGCCGAGCTCGCATGCCACCTGCACAGCAGCATCGACGGCGGCTCCGCCTCCCCCAAGCGTGGGCCCGGCTGCAAGCGGCGCAGGCTGCTCAGTGCCCGCAAACTGCTGGACTCGTGCACCCGAAGCACCCCAGCTCCCTTGCTCCGGCTGCGGCGACGGGGATGGCGGCGGCTGCCGACGCCATTGCCCGTGCTGCTGGAAATACTGCTCCGCAGACGCCGGCCTGTGCTCGCTTGTCAGCTGCGGCAGCGCTGTTGCACCCTCCCCGGCGCCGTTCGCAACCCAGCCTGCTTGCCCCGCAGGCGCCACCGTGCCGGCGGCGGCGCTGCAGCCTGCAGGCGGGGCGTGGCGCTCCAAGGAGGACACTGCGTTGGTCACCGCCACGGCGGCGGCCTCCGCGGCCGTCGACGCCGTGCGGCAGATCACGTCAGACGCGGGCGCAGTCAGGGGCCGCCCGGCGGGATTCCACAAGTGGGGTGCGCCCAGGGCGCCAACCCTGCAGGGTGCCGCGGCCCCTGGGCCCACCCCGGCACCACGGGCCGGAGCAGCTGGAGCGCACCAGCCGGCGTGCCATTGATCCGGGTAAGGCACATCGGCAGGACCCAAGGGGTTGGCAGAGGCGCACGGACTGCCGCAGTGGAACAAAGGGTTCAACCGCGTGTTGAAGGGCGCCGCACCCACCCTGGGCTCCTCGCCCTCGGCGCAGCGTTCTCTTTGCTGCTGCTGCTGCTGCTGCTGCTGCTGCTGCTGCTGCTGCTGCTGCTGCTGCTGCTGCTGCTGCTGCTGCTGCTGCTGCTGCTGCTGCTGCTGCGCGTTTTGTCGCCTGACCCTGATGGTGACTGCCAGGCCTGGCACCCATTCTGACAGGTCTGCACAGATCTCACCCAGCTCGGTGGCCCACACCAGCGGTGCCCCCAAGGCACCCGCCTGCTGTGATGGCACGGCCATGGTGAGGTGGTGCGGCAAGGCGGATGTGCTCGCTACTTGCGGCTGGTGCTGCTGCTGCTGCTTCTGCTGCTTCTGCGGCTGCTGCTGCGGCTGCTGCTGCTGCTGCTGCTGCTGCTGCTGCTGCTGCTGCTGCTGTTGCTGCTGCTGCGCTTGCTGTTGCTGCACTTGCTGCTGCTGCTGCTGCTGCGCTTGCTGCTGCGCTTGCTGCTGCTGCTGCCACTGCTGTTGCTGCTGCTGCTGCTGCCCTTGCTGCTGCTGCTGTTGCTGTTGTTGCTGCTGCTGCTGCTGCTGCTGCTGCCACACCGCTCGCGGCTGGAGCTCCCGGTCCCACCCTGCAGCTCCTTGACGTGCCGTCCGCAGCCTCGCGTTGCAGCACTCGCAGCCAGCTGCCCCCGCCCCCTCGGCTTCAGGGACAACGCCGGGCCCGCTGCGCGCCCTCTCCTGGTCCCGCGGCCACGGCCGCGGCCGCTGCTGCGTGGCGAGCCGCTGCTGCGTCTGCTGCAGCGGGTACGTGCGCTGCACCGTCGACCAGACCGAGCCGGCGTCCATGAGCCCCTCCGTCGGGTCTGGGCTCTGCCATGAGCCCCCGGGCGTCGCCTGTAGGTGCTCAGGTCGGAAAGTCCCACCCACACCGACACGCACGGCGCGGTGCGACGGCGCGCTGTCAGCCTCAGGATCAGCAATTTGACAACGGCGAAGCTTTAGCCTTGGCTGCCTCCTACAAGGCGACCCCTCCCTTCCCCTAGGTGCAGTTGGACCCAAAACTAGACTGCGCTCCTGCCTCCGCGGCCCACCCTCCGCCCTCCCCGTCAGGCCCGCGCCTCTCACCCTCAGGGAGCCGGTGGGCATGTGCCGGTACACCTCAAACGCCCACGCCATCATGCGCATGCACCGCTGGTGGTGCGTCGCGCCGGCCCCGTTCAGCCGCCGCAGCAGCTCCCGCCCCTCGGGGCTGTCCACCACCGCGCGCAGCACCGAGGGGATGATGTAGCCCTCTTGCGACCCGGCCCACGCGGACTGCCCAGTCCGGGCCGGCGGCGGCGCGTACAGCCCAGCCATCGACGCGCGCGTCCAGTCCGGCGAGTAGCGGCCGCTGCCCAGCGGCGTAAATGCCGTGGCGGCGGCGTCGCCTGCGAACGCCCCGTCAGCGCTGCTGTCCGCGGACTGCCACGGCCTGCGTGATGATGGGGTGTGCTGCTGCCGCTTGGCGCGCCGCTGCATGGATGCCTCCAAGGAGCCACCCGCCTCGCCGGCCTCCAAGGTGGGCGGGGGCGCCCAGCCGCCCCGGCCCCAGCCTCCAGACGCGACGAGCTTGCCGGCGCATGCCGCACAGCCGGGCGTCGGCCAGGTGTGGCTGCAGCCGGCGGGGTCTAACCCAGTCGGGGCGAGGGCTGCAGGTTGCGGCTGCTGCGACTGCGGCTGCTGCGGCTGCTGCTGCGACTGCTGCTGCGGCTGCTGCTGCGGCTGCAGTGCCTGTGCCTGCGACTGTGCCTGCACCTGCTGCGCTGGTCCAGCCATTGGCGCACCTTCCCGTGTGGCTGCCGCATCCTGCTTGCCCCGCAGCTCGTCGAGCTGCCGCGCGAGCGCCTCTGCTATTGCCTGGGTGTCCCCGAGAGACAGCAGCACGGCCTGCTGCTCTTCGCTCCCGTCCACAACCTCCGACGCCTCGCAGGCGCGGCGCTGCGACGCGTCGGCTGGCCGCCTGCTGACCCCACCGCCAAGAGGAAGCGGCTGCTGCTGCAAAGGGTGGTCAGACGGTCGCTGCTTCCCGCTCCTTGCTGCCTCCCCCGACCCCAGGCTGTCACTTGTAGCGAGGGACAAGCGCTCGTGGGTCGCCTGGGCTTCCGCTGCCAGCCGCCTGGCCCTAGCTGCAGCCGCTGCCGCCAGCGCCAGCACCGCGGCGGTCGGATGCCCCTCCACGGGAGCCGATGCGCCCAGCTCGGACGCCTGTGCCGCGCCGCCGGCGCCCCGCGTTTGACTCGCCCGCCGCTGGAGGCTGCGCAGCGACAGCGCCGGCCGCGGCGGCCCCCTCGCCGGCGGAAGAGGCGGCGGCGGCGGCGGGGGGCGTGGCAGCGCTGGGCGCCGCTGCGAGGGCAGGCTGTTTGGGCTGGCCGCCCCCGACCCCGAGAGGCTCTCCCTTTCAGCCACCTCTGCCGCGTCCAAGGCCGCCCGCGCCCCCGCGTCCATGGCCGCAGCGAGCCGCAGCTGGTCGGTCGCCTGGTCAAGCGCGGCCGCCGCCTCGGAGGCCGCTGCGGCTGCCTCGGCTGCGGCCTGGCGTGCATCAATCAGGCGACCGTAATCGGCCAGGGGGCCGTCCTCCCCCGCCTCTGAGCCGCCGCTGTCGCCGTCGCCGGCACCTTTTGATTTGATGACACCCCGCTGCCCCTGCAGCTGCTCCCGCTGCTGTTGCTGCTGTTGCGGCTGGCGGCCGCTGAGCTCGGCGCCGCCGTCCGCCTCATCGTCGCTCTCGACAATCGTCCCGAGGTCAGAGCCGCCGCGGCGCAGCGCGCGCGCGCCGCCGCCGTCGGCGCTGCGGGGCCTGGCGGGGCCGGTCGCTTGACCGATGGGGCTTGCGGCGCCCCGGGCTGAGAACCTGTTGTGCCCTGCTTGTGGCTGGTGGCGGGGCGTCGGTACCCCTGCGCCCTCAGGGATGTCCTCTGGCAGGTACTCGAGCTCATCTTGCTGCTGTTGCTGCTGCAGACGTGGCCGCAGGTTGGGCGCGCGCCCAGGCAAGCCCGCGGCTCGCTGCTGCCCGCCACCGCTGCCGCTCCAGCCGCCCCCCGGCGCCTGCTGCTGGCGCCGCTGCTGCAGACCCCACTGCCTCGCCGCGGCGCTGTCGTGCGAGGCGCCGGCCGCTGGCGGCGGTGTGCCCGCCCCGCGTGCGCCGCCCGCGCCGCCCCAGCGACCCCTTGCAGTGCGGCCGTGCAGAGCCGAGGGGTCGAAGTCCCCGGGATGCGCGGACTCAAGGGGCGGGTCCAGATGATGGTCGGGTGTCCCCCCATCGCCCTCGATCTGCCCGTCGTCATCCCCTGCGCCGCCCAGCTGCCACGACGGCGCGTAGCCGCCGTCGCTGGCCGGCGCGTCCTCCCCGTTGTCATCGCCCCGCGCGCTGCCGCCGCGCCCGGACCCGCCATACTCGCTGCCGGGGGTTGGCGCGCGCAGCGGGCGCTGGGGGGATCCCCGGCCCGACGCCTGGATGAGGCCGGCGAAGGGCGGGGGGTGCTGCTGCAGCGGCGCGTCGCCGCCGTCTGGGCTGAAGACCCGGGGGGCGCCAGGGCGGTCGTGGGGGCCGCCGTCCTCCTCGCCCGGGTACCTGACTACAGTGGGCACCCTGGGGGCGCGGGGTTGTGTTCCTGGTTTTGAAGCTTGCAAGAGAGGCATGTTGTGGGGTGGGCGAGTCTAGGGGAGCGCGGCAGGCTGCGCAGCACTGCTGCCGCGCCCACAGAGTGTGCGACGGGCATGGCAGGGTGCAGCTCGTCAATGAACAAGGCTAGCGCAGTGAGGCTAGCGCAGAGCATGCACACGGTGTGTCGCTGCGGTTGTGCAGCACATGGTTGCAATGTGGACTTGGTCATGCTAGGGCCTGGCCACACTGACAGCGGCTGCATTACCGCAGCTGCCACATGCACATGAACAACGCGCTGCAGCAACCGTGGTTGTCGCCGCCGCTGCCGCCGCCACCACCACAAGAGCAGCAGCAGCAGCAGCAGCAGCAGCAGCAGCAGCAGCAGCAGCAGCAGCAGCAGCAAAAACAGCAGAAACCAGCCCGCCAATCAGGTCAATCACGGCTGCCAAGCAGCAATCCCACGCACCTGCTGGTGGCGCTGTTGGCGATGGCCACAAACCACTCTTGCGCCTCGTCCCTGTCCTCGCCCTTGAGCACAAACTCGCGCCCCGCGACCTGCACACGTGTACATGGCGCGTGGCGCACAACAACTCGTATGTTGACACTAAATCACTTTGCACAACAGTGCTAGGTGGGTTGACATTCATCCTGTGTGCTGCCTGTGACTTGCACTCGCCGCCACCTCTCTGTTAGCCTGGGCCTGCTCTCTGCTTCCAGTCCAGCCGCGTGGCACCCGGCGGCAGGCCGGAGGGTAGGGTTCGGCGCGAATGGGTGGCTGCCACAATAAGGCAGCTGCGACGGCCAGGCGGCTGCCGCGGCCTTTCATCTGCCACAAGCCCACAACTGTGTTAGTTGCGCTCACGTCCAAGTGCAGCGTGCCCTTGACCTCGTCGAACCGCGGGGACACGTCTACTAGGGACACCACGTTGCTGGGGTAGACGGCCACCTTGCTCGGCAAGATGAACAGCTTGCGCGGGGTGAGGATCTGGGGTTGATGTAGCGCGCCACGAGGGGGCAGGGCAGCAAATAGCAAATTAGCAGGCACAGGGTAACCAGGGGAGGTCAACGAGAGCCAGCGGCACCACGCGCAGGCAGGGTGTGCTCTTGGAGGTGTTGTGCGCGGCTGCAGCCTTTTCGCCGTTGGTGGGCGCCGCTTCGGTGTGCGTTGTGTGCGATTGAGGCGCGCGCTGGCTCACCGCGTACCGCTCCCCAAAGGTGCCGGCCTTGCTGCGCTTGAGGATGGTCCCCTTTTTCAACACGCTGCGTTGGAACCTGCGACCCCTCGCCAGGCCAGGGCGGTGGGTTCATGCTTGCCAGGGGGTGAACTGGGCTGCTGCACACACGCGGCACTGTGTCAACATGGCAAAGTCGGGGCGTCCAGGCAATTGCTTCTGCTACGCAGCCACAAAACGCCTTGCCTGCGTCCCGAACGCCCCCCCTCCCCCCCCCCCCTGCGCCGCTGCGCAGCCCTGCCTGTTCACGTCCAGCGCCCCCATGCTGACGTCATAGCACACCGTCCTGAATAGCAGGCAGTCCTCCGCGGACTGGAAGTCCACAAAGTAGCGGCGCTCGTCGCGGCACGACACCAGCACGCTGCGCGGCTCGACCTCGTCAAAAACGATCTGCGGGCCGCACACGCGAGCGGTCGGCATCACGTTGCACGGTGTCGATGATTACGGTACGGCCGCCATTAGCAGCACCGCGGGCAGCAGCCCTGGCAGCTGCCGGCCGCTCTTCGTTACAGGCGCTGCTATTGCTACCTTTGGCGGGCGCAAGCGCCGGCCCGACGAGGGGCGGCCGCCGGCGCGGGGGGCCCCTCCCATGTGCACGCAGGCGCGCCTGGTTGATGGCGTCGAACCGCAGGAAGACGCGGACGCTGCCCTTCTGCACAAACTTGACGGCGGCCGCGGCCGCGTCCAGGTGCAGTATGCGCTGCTCAACGCGTGTGTTGGACTTGTCCCCCACCAGCTGCACGTCCACCCTGAGCCACACAGAGCCGCGCAATGGAGACGAGCGCGCGTCAGGCTGAGGCACGCGTTTGCGCAACGTCTGCAAGACAGCCAAGAGGGCACGTGCGCTGCCTCGCCCCAGCACGGTGGCAGCGGCGCGCATTTTAGAAAGCGCAGCGCCCGCAGTGGGTGCCACGCACGACTGCATCAGCAGACGGCGGCGCGCACCCAAAGGAGAAGAAGTAGTGGGCCGTGAGGCCCCTTGCCGGCTGCCTCCCCTCCATCTCTGCGGGCGCCGCCTGCCCTTGAACGCGACGTTTCAGCTATACATGAGGTGGTCGCCCTGCCCCATCCTTCCCATCAGCTCTCGCAAAGACGTTTCTTCACGAAACAGCTGCAAGCCCGGGTCCGGCAGGATCGAAGGGTCTCAAGTGACTGTGAATGATATTCTAGATGTAATAGATGATAATATTATCACTCTCTGAGGAGATCTGGGGCTCCCGGGAGGCACGTTTGACCGGTCGACCACTATGGGAAAGAAAGCGACTTCAAAGGTCGGGGCGGATAAATTATTGCGTAGGCGCATGTATGTGCGATGCTGTTGGCGCTGATGGCAAGTCTGACTTGTGAAATCAATTTATGACTTCAAGGCCGCCGCGTCTGCTGTGCTGACTGCGCGCGTACCACACTTTGGCTGTTTTTTTTATGCGTATAGCTGCAAATCAATTAGGAGAGAGCGCTCAGACTGCGCCGAAGGCTGTGATGGCTGAGCTCAGACTTACCCTTGCACGGCCGCAGCAACACCGCGCGTGCACCAGCGCCGCTTGCGACATTATGCTCGGCTGTGCACACAACCCACAGCACCTGGGCACGTTGCGCGCTGGATGCGTCGCTGCGCATGCGACACTCGCAAAAACCCCAGCTTCAGGGCATCGCAGGCGGTCTTAGACTACACGCACCGCGCACCCGTCCTGTTGGCCTTTGCAACGGCGTCTCAAGGCACCCCCTTCCCTCGCAAGCTTGCAAGGGCAAGCCCATCTTTTTCACCCAACTGCCTGCATCCCCTCCCAGGGACACAGCCAACTGAAGACCGGAGCCAGCGCCACCACTTCTGTCACTGCCGTGATCCCTGCCAGACCGCGCCTGCGCTGGGCTAGCTGCTGCGACCCGCTGCGCCTTGGCGTGGCACGCATTGGAATGCGCATGCTCCAGGATAATCATAAGCAGCAACTCATCTGTCATGCCCACGAGCGACGTTACAACGATCAAGGTATGACACGAAAAGCGATACATAAGGGCCTGCATCACCTGTCATGTCACGCTGGCATGCCTGCTCAAACCAGGTGCGGGCTTTCAGCAGCGCGCTCACATGGGCAATGTACAATGAATGTCTCACGTGCACGCAGGCGTTCCATGATGACATGTGTGGCCAGACAAGTACTCTTGGGCTGTACATCAACAAGCTGCCGCACTCATTGCTCTGATGCTGCACACACTCAACCAGCAACAATCTCAACCAGCAACCCACATCAGCGCTGCCGGTGACGGCTCATGTAGAGCCAGGGACAAAACTGCCGTTGGAGCCACGTTTGCTGCGGACCGCGCGCCACCGCTGCCGTGCTGCACGATCCACCTGCTAAACAATTGTCTCGCGCCACCAGGACCGCCGGGCTCCGCGCCCGCGGCCGTTGGCGTCACGGTTTGGACCGTTGCTGCTGCTGCTGCTGCTGCTGCTGCTGCTGCTGTTGCGGCTGCTGCTGCTGCTGCTGCTGCTGTTCCTGTCGCTGCTGCTGCGGCTTTGAATCCTCCAGCCCCAACTCTGTCAGATCCTGCTTTGCCATGAGATCCCTGCGTTTGCAGGGTCACGGGCCGGGAAGAGGGGGCCGGCTCGGGGCTGCGCGCACACGGCAGCAGCGGCAGTGCATGCGCTTGCAAGGGGGCGGCCGCGCGCCTCAAGCCGGTCAAACGAACGTTCTCGTAGCTCGTGTATCTGCTGGCACGAGGCCCGTGGGGGCTGGGTGCGCGGGTGGTGCACCTCAGCTGGCCGTGCCCAGGCCGGGCCCCCTCACCGGTCCATCCGGCACGTGAGGTATTGACGCGAGAGCTCCTTGCAAGCGGAGGCTTCCGCGTTGTGGCGTTTAAGGCACTCCAAATACTGTTGCGCAACCTGCGAGGTGCAAGTTGGCAGAGGGGCGGCGCGCCGTGTGCCAGTGCCCGACAGTCAGCAGAGCAGCGGCAACAGCAACGGCGAGCAGCATGCGCTTGTGCTGGCGCACGCAGCACTGCAACTTGCGCTGACCTGCTTGCACTCGCCGAAATGATCCAATGGAAATATTCCCTTTTCTGGAGGCCTGGCCGCCACACCGCGGGCCCCGCCGAACGCGCTCATCTACCCTGCGAGATCACAAAGGCTGGCGAGCATGCCTGAAGCTATCAATGAAAAATATGCAAGAAATACAATTGGCATCTGCATTGTCCCGGTTGCCAGTGTGTCGGGGTCCAAGTCAAGTGACTAGGAACCGCTGCAGCTGCCGGACACAAGGAAAGACGATGCAAAACTCAGATTTATCAGAAATTGGATTCAGAATCATTGATACTCCGCTGCCTTCAACAGCATCGGCGTTGAAACATTGGGTTCAAAAAGCATCAGGCCCCAGGCTGGTCGCACAACTGAACGCAGCGCTTGAATATCAGTATTACATGTTAAGTGTAATATTATAGTGAGCATCGGGTCCCCTGGACCACCTCTGCCTGCAACCTCTGGAAGCAGCAGCAGCAGCGCTGCGGCGAAGGGGGCAGCAGTGTCAGAACGAGCGCACGGGTATGGCATAGGACGAGAAGGAACAGACTGATTTCAAAGAAAGTCCATTTAGTTTGGTCAGTCAGCTGCAAAGCTGCTGGGCGAGGCAGCCAGTAGCATGGGGGCGAAATGGCTCATCGGCGTCGGCGTCAATTTGGTGGGTGCGACAGGCAAGAAACGCACCCGCGCTTCACAGGGACGAATGCGATATTGTACGTGGCGTTGTGCACGTTTGAAGGCGCAGCCATGGTCAATCCTGACTTACGCGGGCGCTGGCTCCTGACGGGGGCCCACGCCTCCGCAGGTGGGGAGCATTCTGATCAACCTGGGCACGGTGAGCACAGGGTGCACCCCTGCCGGGCGCGCCCTGCACCCTGCGCCCTACGCACTGCTCTGCGTGTGCGCGGCCGCAGCAGACCCCGCACGGTCCCGACAGCAGGGCCGCGCAGCGCCCCCCCCCCCCCCCGACCGCGGTTCACCCCACGCGCTGCGGGCAGCTGCCAGGCAGTGCGGTAGCAGCCGCAGCGCCGTCGCGGCGCCACGCGGCGCGGCGTGGCACTGGCGCATGCAGGGGGTGGAGCCTTATCGTATGCCCCCTGAGCCCGCGACTGTTTGGCTGCCCCCACAGAACGTGATGAAGCTCGGCCACAACAAGCGCGCTGCGCTACCCCTGGCCGAGGCCGACAAGCCGCCCATCAGCCGCTTCAGGGAGTGGCAGTTTGGCGTGGCGGCCTTCACTGTCGGCAACGTCGCCAACTTCTTGTCCTTCGGTGGGTCAAACGGGCCTGAACTCTGTTTTCTCTAGTCGGAGTCGAACGGGCCCGTTCATCTGATTTGCATTGGCCATTCAATGTACAGGCTGGCAGCGGGGACCCAGGTGGCGGCCGCAGCCGCAGCAGGGGGGCACCCGAGCGACTGGGGGGCACCCGAGCGGCCACGCAATTTGAGGGCGTTGTGGCGTTGGCAGCCGCTGTGGTGGCGGCGGTCCTGCGGACAGGCAAAGAGGAGCGTTTGAAACAAGAAGCGGCTCAGGCCTGAGCTCATGGCAGTCGCCACAATGGCATAGACAGAGGACTTGAACACCGGCTGGCCTCGATACGCGTGTCTTGCGACTGCCGATTGCGAAGCTGGTGCAGCGCATGCTCTGGGCCAGCCCGCACCCGGGGCAGCGCGCCGCAGGCGCTGCGCTACTGCTGACCCCGCTGCCGTCGCCCCGCCCCCTCGCCGTGCGTGACCCTGCCCCGTGCGCAGGTTACGCTGCGCAGTCGCTGCTGTCCGCCATAGGGTGCGTCCAATTTGTGTCCAACGTGATCTTCGCGTCGCTGGTGCTCAAGGAGAAGGTGGGCGCGGTTCCCCCCACCAAAACCAGCCCGGTCCGTGAGACGTCGGTAGTGACACGTGGTGACGTCACGCACCGCTCAATGGAGTCCCGCAAAAGCCGCCGGGTCCCGCGGTCCGTTCCGCACGCCGCCACAGACCGCAGCCCGTTTCCTCGCGCAGGAGCGATGCATTCTCCGGCACCTTTGAGGATGGCGGTCGGATGCGCACTCAAAATCACGCGCGCGCGCGCGCGCCTCGCGCTCAGCCCCCGCCCGCACAAAACGTCCTGCTACCCAGGTCACCCGCAGCGTGCTGGCCGCGACGGCGTGCATTGTGGCGGGCTGCGTGCTGCTGGTGTCTTTTGGCGACCACTCCTCATCGGTGTTCACGGCCAAGGACCTCTTAAGATTCTATGCAGAGTGGGTGCCGTTTCCATGGGTGGCATATCAAGCCCGATGGGTGACAGGGGTGGTGGGGTCCATGGGTGCTGAACGCCGGGTACAGTCTTGTTGGTCGATGCGCGGTCTAAGCCCCAGAGCATCTGGAGGCGGCGAGGCGGCGAGATGCCGCGCCGTCCGAAACAGCTCAGGGGCCCCACGTCTTCCCACAGCATCAAATCAGACCCCGCGAACCAAAAGACACCCCCCCCCCACGCACACACACGGTGGTCTTGCCGCCGCAGGCCGGTCTACATATCGTATCTGTCTGTGTCCACGGCGGCCGTGGTGGGCTGCTATACACTGTACAACATGGGCAGGCGCCGCACACTGTGAGCGGCACGCGCGGCGCGGCAGTCAGCGGGCGCAACGAGTGCTGTCTTGACACGCCCAGCTCGGGGATTGAGGGGCGGCGTGATCCTCGAGCCTGCCTATGATCGCAGACCCGGCGGCCAGGCATCCAAGACCCACCGCGCCAACCCCATCTCACCGGGGGAGCCGCGGCATGTGCGTGGCCAAAACAATGAGCCCCGATTGCCCCCACCCATGGTCGCCCCCGCGCCACGCAAACTTGGCCACCCCCAGTGCCGCCGGCCCCGGCGGCGCGCGCGGCTGGGAGGGCGCCCTACCTGTGCTGTATGCCACGTTCAGCGCCCTGATCGGCACGCAGTCTGTGCTGTTCAGCAAGACTCTGGCGGTGCTGCTGCGGGCCACCTTCTCGGGGGACAACCAGGTCTGCTTGGGTGTGTGTGGTGTGTGCTTGAGTGTGTATGTGTGCGTCGCGCGCTTGGGCGGGATGGGGCTGCTTCTGGAAAGGAGTACAGGGGGCAAGGAGAGGCGAATCCTGCATCAGGCTTGCATTGCATTGCAGGGTATTGGGGTTGGGGGTGGATTATGGCGCTTCAGTGAGAAAAGGGCATTCGGGAAGGATTGCTGCAGCACAGCAAGGAGAGTCGCCAAGGGGCAGTGGCAACGGCCTGAACGGCGGGGCAGCAGCCTCCAGGGGGCGCCGCCGGGATGAGAAGGAAGCCGTGTGAGCGGCAGCGCGGAGCGGCACCGCGCCACAGGCGGCGGTGGAAGCCTGAACTGCCTGAGCCCAGGGCCACGCCGCACACTTGCACTCCGCCTGCAGCGCCCAAACCTCCAATCCATCCCTCTGATCTGGTGTGATCTGGTCTTGCGTGATCTTGACCGCAGCTCAAGGGCTGGTTCATCTACCTGGTGGTGCCGTGCTTCCTGTTTGCCGCCGTCTTCTGGGTGACACGGCTCAACAAGGTGACGCCCTGGGGGATGGGGGTTTGGGGGGGTGTGGGCT